CTCAAATTGATGTCCAAAATACTAAACTTTTAGCTGCGCCTACTAGCGGTCCCCAGGTTCCCTGAATTTTCATTCTTAGATTAAAACACGCTTCAAGTACCTAGAAATATCCCAAAAAATCAAAAATTAGTGTTAGGAACCCCTTTTGGCCAATTCTAAAATTTTGAAACGGTGGCTTCGCCATGTTCTGGCAACGGCACTACCACCCGCGGTAGCAGTTTGCCTTAGGTTGGCCATTTTCAGCAAGTTTTGGCCAATTTTGATCGATTTTGTACCCATTCCTATGAGAAAACACGTTAAGAGACCTTAGTTGGCCGAAAAAAGTCAAAAAATCGAAGCTTACCGACTGTAGGGTTTTTCGGTGCAGCGGCTCCATCAGCTCACCTTTGCGGTTGGGTGTTTTGTTTCAGTCACCTGTAGAAAATGAAATGGTGATTATAATGGTGGAAAAATTACATGAAACGGAAATCGGGAAGGGCCTCATCGGAGGTAATTTTTGCTTTTTTTGCGGCGGTACCGTCGGGCTTTAACCGCGATTTTTGGCTCATCTGCCGATCCTTTTGCTCTGATTTGACCATGGGGGTGTTCAAAATTAAATTTCGAACGAATGAGGAAAATTTTACCCCTTTTAGCGGTCAGAAGTGGCTCCGGCACGGCGGTGGGCGGCGGTCAGCTCCCTTCCCGATGACTGGCTCTTCTTCTCCGATGGGGGGGTCTGGCCGCTAGAGTTTGAGTTTGGTATGAAGATGGGTATTTATATCCCTCTTCTTTTAATCTAGACCGTCCATCGCATTTAATCTGGACCGTCCGATCGCGTTTAAGTAGGAAGTAAATTTGGACTGTTCATCGCGATTTGATATAGGTCGTCCAATCGCATTTAAATAAGAAGTGGATCTAAACCGTTCATCGTATTTAATCGCGACCGTTCGATCGCATCTGAGGCGGGAATAAATGTGAACTGTCCGATCGCGAACACGCGAATTGCCTGCGTGGTACTATATCAGCACGCCTTGCCACGCAGCGCATTTCGGTTCGTCGGGGCTGCTGATTGGGCGTCTTTGGTGGCACATTTTTCTTAAATTATATTTTTACCTTCAGTTTCTGATTTTTCTTTCAAAAACACCCCCAGAACCCCAATTTTCACCCATTTCTCCCAAAATTATTTTCAATTTCATCATCCACCTATTTTTTTTCCTAATTTTACATTAAATAATAATTTATAAAATTTAAATTTAAAATTTATACATAAATTTTGAATTTTACAAATTAATTTCGAGTGTTACATCACAAATAAACCGTAAATCATGCAAGACAATCAATATATATATCAAGGAAGCACAATTGAATCATTCAACCATTCTTGTATATCATCATGTATTTAAAGCTGTAAATTCAACAATCAGTTAAATATGACAAATAAATAACTAATCGGTTCTACCTCTATTAGTAAATGTAATTATTCTCAAAGTTTTTTAAATTACATAAAATATTATATTATCGATTATAAAGCTTCAATTCCATAATAGAAAATAAGTTGATGGATTATTACCTGAATCGGTGTCCGAAATACTGAACTTTCTACTACGCCTACTGGTGGTTTTTGAATTTTTTAAATTTTTTTACGGAGATTAAAACACGTTTCACATACCTAAAAATACCCTAAAAACTCAAAATCGGTGTTAGAAACTTTTTTCGATCAATTTCGGGATTCTGGCACTGTGACACCGTTGTGCTTCGGCGACGGCACTGCCACCGGCGGCGGTTTGCCTTAGCCTGGTCGTTTTTGGCCAGTTTTATGCCCATCTCTGTGAGAATACGTTAGGGAGTCTCGGTTGGCCAAAAAAATAAAAAAATAGAAACCTATCGGTGGTAGAATTTTTTGGTGCGACGGCTCCACCAGCTTACCTTCATGGCTGGGCGTTTTTATTCAGTAAAGCTGTAGAAAATAGAACGGTAAACACAATGGTAAAAGAATCACATGAAACGGAAAACAAAAAATGGGAAGGGGTTTAACGGAGGCGGTTGTGGGTTTTGCCCGTGGCAGCGGTGTCGGGCTTTACCCGCAGTTTTTGGCTCACCAACTGTTCTTTTTACTCTGATTTGGCCATGGGGGTGCTCGGAATCAAATTCTGAATGGATAGGAGAATTTTTACCTTTTTTGGTGGTCGGAGGTGGCTCTAGTGTGGCGAGGAACAGCGGTCGGCTCCCTTCTCTGATAACTGGTTCTTCTTTTCTGGCGGGAGGCTGGTGGCTAGGGTTTGGGTTCAGTGTGATGCAAAATATTTATACCCGTATCGTGTTAATCTGGACCGTTCATCGCGTTTAATCTCGACTGTGCGATCACGTTTAAAGAGAAAATAAATATGAAATATGGACTATCATCGCGATTTGATCTCAATCGTCCGATTACGTTTAAAGAGAAAAAGAATATGGGCCGTTCATCGTGTTTAATCACAATCGTCCGATCGCGCCTAAGAAGGAAACGGATTCGAACTGTCCACGTGTGCGGAAACACTTCTGGGTCGTCCGATTACGGGGTACGTAGATTGCCAGCATGGCCTCCCACATGGTACAGAATCAGCGTGTCTTGTCACGTTGCGCACTCCAGTTCGTCGAAGCTACTGACTGGGCGATTCTACATGGCAAAATTTTCCTTAATTGCGTTCTAACTCACAGTTTTCAAATTTTCTATCAAAAATACTATGCGAACTCAAATTTTTACCATTTTTAACCTATTTTTTTCATAATTCTACATTAAATTAAAATTTATTAATTTCAAAAATAGATTTTTATATATTTTTAATATTAAAATAAATTTCGAGTTAAATTATAGGTTCGGGTATTACAGAGTTTTCTTTGAAGGGACCGGGGAGCTGCTTGGAGGAAACTTGAAGGTTTGTACTGATGGCATTCTGCGATTTCTGTGAAGAAGAAGGGAACAATTACTGGAGCAACGAGAAAGGAAAATGAAGCAGAAAGCTAGCAGATTTGAAAATTTGATTTGGCATTCCAATTTAGGAATTTATTTGTCTTTCTTCAATTTTTTATAATTTTCAATCAAAATTTTATTATATAATATTTAAAATAAATTATATTGTTATTAATTAAGTCATTATTGCAATTATATAATTATTTATTTAAATTTTATTAATTATATAACTACTTAAATTAATTTTAATTTTAAATTTATAGTCAAAATTTACTGAAATATGTGATATAAGATTGATAAGTCCGAATTCAAAATATCTATCGTAAAGAGAATAAATATGTTGACTGATTGGTGAATACTGATTTTTCTTTACATATGAATCTTCATCTACATACTCAAATGTCGAATGATTTTTAATAACTTTTCATTGATAATATCATTAATATTTTTTGACTCATAATATGTACAACAACCTTTTAGTATTCTTAATTTATATCTCTTTTTATAATAAAAAAAATATACGTTTGTAGTCGTTATTTTATATATACAATATATTCATACAAACAACAAAAAAGAATATTTTGTTAAAAGAATTAAGTAGCTAATACAATTTTCACATGTCAGTAAACGTTAATTTCAATTACATTTAAAATTTCAAGTTAGATTATTAAAACAATTAAAAAATTACTGACTGTTAATGAATCATATAATTGATATAATTAGTATTGATTTCTAATTTGCATTTGTAATTTGGTAAATATTTGGAATCTCTCACTAAACAGAAATTAACAAATTATTGTATATAATAATTTTATTAAAATATTATTCAACCTATAGATTTTGGTTATTTATTTAAATTCTAATTTTAATATTTAGAAAATTAAATAAATAATAGGTTCATTATTTTCAACAAATTAAAAATACATTGGATTAGTTGTCAGAATTGTACACTTATCATTATATAACTACTGAAATTAGTGTTGATTTCTAATTTGTATTTAGAATTTCGTGGATATGAGATTTTTTTCACTCAAAGAAATTAATCAATTATCATTATATAATATTTTTATTAAATTATTGCTCAGGTTATAAGTTTTAGTTATTATCTAAATTTCATTTTTATCTTTAAAAAATTTTTAAAAAAAAAGTAGATTATTATCTTTTAGTTAATTAAAAATATATTGGGATCTTATTAGTATTGAAATTATACAATTATTTAAGTCTATATTTTATATGTGGAATATGGCATGCCATAGTTGTGGTTTTTTTAGAAGGTAATCAATATATTCATAATTAACAACTAAATATGTACAAGTTGTCATATTTTGGTTGTTACTCTTATATATAATTAAAAATGAATTGGAGTTTTCTTAAGCATATGATTATTCGAATAATATAATTATTTTTATTTTATATTTAAAAAATTATTTATAAAAATGAGAATATAGCATGTGGTAGTTCGGAAAGTGGAGCTTTTCCAGTGGCAAATCTCTAAGCTCTCCCTCCAATTTTTGTTCAGAATTTTTAAAATTTTCAAGATTTCATGTTTTCTTTTGTAGATTTTTCCCGTACCCTCTTGAGAACAAAAATCAATGTTTTTTAATATTAATTCTCCATATTTGTCCAAAACACAAAATCTAAGTTATAATTATTTAAAACTACCACAACTAAATATTATAATCAACCCAAAATCTAAGTATTTCCTTATAATTTACTCTGGTATTATTTTACCCTTTTTTATCTGGAGAGCAATGGCGGTCTACTTCCTGAATTTTCATACAAATAAAAATAATGATTAGATCCAATATCATTCATTTTGGAAGATTCAGTCACAACTTCAACCAAATTTCACATTTCTCAATATTCAATAGAAACTAATAAGATGACCATCTTGTTGTTTATATAAAACTTTTACAAGTTTAAAACCAACTTCCAAACTGAGTGGCTTACAAGGTTCATAAATGCCTCATTTGTTCACACAACCTAAAAGGAATGTTTTCAAGCAGCGGGTTTAGGTGTTTCGGACTCCTGCTGTTTCTTCCACTGGTCCGGAGTCTGAGCTTTTGTTATTGAAAGTGCATGGATTTGCTTCATCTCCTCTTCAACTGCAGCATTCACCAGTCGATGCCTCTCCAACAATCTCTTCCCTTCAAATTGTTCTGACACAATCTCAATCGCAAAACTTGCTCCACAACTGGTAATTATCCAATTTCCACTCAAATAATACAATAGTCAGAAAAGGTAAAGCCCAGAAAAGTGAATTATCCAAACCAACTCTTCTAAAACAAATAACTCACCCTCCAGATGTATCGATAACTTCCTGAAATTAGTAAAGTAAGAAATTAGTTTTCTCAAATAAGCATTGTATTCAGAGATGTTTTCATATTAACAAAAAAATAAATGAAGTATTTGGAGTAGTTTCATATTAAAATGAGCAGATTATAAGGATAATCCATGTAAGCAATTCTTTAATTACTTTTTGGAGTACCACACTTTACACCCTTACCATAATGAAGTATTTGGAGTAGTTTCATATTAAAATGAGCAGATTATAAGGATAATCCATGTAAGCAATTCTTTAATTACTTTTTGGAGTACCACACTTTACACCCTTACCATAATGACCAAGTACCCAGATCATAGATGACCAATAGGTGCAGTTAGTAGCAAGAACATTTTTTCTCTGAGAAGAAATAACAAAAACTATTGCTTTGAGCATGAAGAAGAAACTTAACTTAACATCCCAAAAAAATTTTCTTTCCCAAAAATACTCACAAATAACACTATTGAAACAAATAGCAGGAATAGATTGTTTACTTGTCAAGAAATAACCTTTTTTGTGAGATAAAATTACTCATTTTAAAGACGGGTGCAACACGAAAACTTCCTAAAAGGTCCTATCCTAATACTACTTTCACCCAAGCATGCTTATCTATAGAGTTCTAAAGAAATCCGGTGCATTAGTGCTGGTATAATCGCATCCGTCCCTTGTCAAGCAATAATTTCACAAACTCATGGTAAATGCTTTGCCTAACTCTAAACTACAGCTCATGCGACCTAATCTTCCTACCTCCCTAAAAAGGGTTGCTGGATCAAATTCTGGGAGGTAAAATCACCCAATTGCCAAGCTAATAATAAGAAGGCCTTTCAAGTTTAACCTTTTGAGTTTTCTGTACCACAATTTAGTCGTTGTTGTTGTCATTGTAATTTCTATAGAAACAATGTTTTACTGGTTCCAGTTACACTCTAAAACAATAGAAAAATGCCCAATTTAATTTGCAACTAAAACTATTAGATCATCTTTTACTATTTGATTGTTTCATTTTCTAGTTAACAAAAAGTCACTTCTATAATTGACCAAAACTCAATCATGAGCTTAAATTGGAGACGAATATTTTTGGATAAGATTTCACATCGTACATCTTTAACAATTTAGCGATTTCTTAAATATAAACAGTTTGACGATTCCATTTGTCACAATTCAAACAAATAAATTCAAACTGTTACACCTAGGTTCAAGGGATAAACTTGGCATTAGCCCAGAAAGAAATGAACGAGAAGGTAATGATGATGGAGAAAAAAAAAGAACTAATAACCACCAAATTTCACTATTAAAAATCTTATTATATTCGAATTATAAACAATCTAATGCAAGCTAAAGCTCCTATGATGATGAAGCTAGCAAGATTATTAAAATTCAGTAGTTTAAGGTAAAGCAGTTAAAAAGGACATAACATTCCTTTTCTAAAAAGGAAACCTTCGAGAAAGTATTTTGCTCCTTTCCAAAATGCAAGTGCTTCTACAAAGAAAGTAAAACTTGTTTAGAACAAACCCCATTTTGACCTGTTCAATAATACTGTCATATTTCTCTCCTTCAGTTTGTCAATGCTACTAAGTTTTCTATAGATGCATGAATATGTATTCCTTCATGAGTTCACAGTGAAAGTGAGAGAAAGATAAGAGATAGAGATGAAAAGGGAGTCATGTTTCAGTAAGAGTGAGTATCAGAATGTGTTTTTTTTTCAAACAGCCAACCTCTTAAATCTATTGACAACAATGAACAAACAAAAAATTAGTTCTCTCATCTATGCACCTAACTTTTTTGTCATGGTTTTCCGAGACAATGTTTATCTTCTTCTATGAATTAAAACCCGAATAAGAAAACCATCCAATTGAGCAGTCAAATATACCGGATCAACATCTGCATTAAAAATTCTGAGAAAGGCCCAAATCCTCAAGTAGGATGGTTAAGCCATCAATCAGCAAGATGATTCTTCTCATATAACACAGGAAGGTCAGATGAGGGACACAAACACTTGTTAAGAATAATAATGGAATCTTAGACCTTCTTCTGTAAAGCATATCAACCACAGCACTGAATCACCCATGAGGTGGCCCATGCCAAGATGATGCAACTGACCTCTAACATCCAACACAATGCATAAAGGCCAGCGCTTGACTTAATAACAAGACCCGAAGGCTTGTATTTAGGTGACAAAGCATCAAAGGAAACCAATAGAATTAAGTACTTCCAAATCACTGTACAGTACAAGTGTTTATCATTGCCAGTCCAAGAAGATGATATATCTATCCAGAACAAAACAGCTATTGAAATTATCCAGTATGAGTTGATCTCAAGAAAAACATCCAGTATGAGTGTTTATCATGAATTGATCCTTGTTTATATTTTTGGCCTTTCGATAGATATGCTAGTCACCCAAAACAAGGCTAGATATAAGATGAAGTACGTTCTGTTGACTTTCTAGACCTCAACATCCACAGAGGTTGACTTGAAACCCTAGCTAGCACCAAAGCTACCAGGAATTATGCCAATATCATCCAAACTTATCAAAATCGAGATAAATTAAGAAAGAAAATCCGACAATAAAATGGCTCTAGATGCTAAAAATCAGCATATGGGTAGAGAATCAAATACATGGTTGATGTCGTAGATATAGATATATACTAAAATATAGAAAAATTACAAAAACGTAAAATTGGTAAAAGAAGTAGAGCTCACAAGATGTGCAGGGTTCATTTTCAAAGTCAAAGAAGCTTCAATTTGTTCTTTTGTCACCCCCATCTCTCTGGCTTCTGTTATTTCTCTTCTCTACGCCTCTGACTCTGTTCGGGTTTCAGGCAGTCTCTGCAGTCGTTTACTGGAAGGAGATAATTGGAGCCCCAGACATTTTAAAGAGCAAGAAAATATATATTAAAATATTTTAACAAATATCTAATTTTAATCATTTTTTTAAAAATGATTCTCTAAATTATAATCCTCAGCCATCAATAGGTCAGAAATTTTTAATATGCAATTTATTTTTTAAAATATGTAAAAAAAAAAAAAATGAGTTGAGTTTCTAATAATATAATATACAGTAAAAAAAAAGTAATTTAAAATATTTTTAATTGACATTTAAATTAATACATTAAATTTTGACAAATTTTAAATAAAAGTATCACATTTTTATCGGTTATGGCTGCACTACATCTTAGTGATAAGGACCAAAATTATATTTGCTTCCCGCGTTACATATATATATATATATCTTTATGTCAAGATCTAAAAAAATTGTATTTAACTCTTATGATATAAGTCTAAAAAATATATATTTATAATAATATTAATTTCTATTATTATTAGTAAAATCAAATCATAACTAGATTGAGAATTTCAAAAGAACTTAAGAAATGGTTTATATTCTTATCAAAAGCAAACAACATCCTTCAATTCGCTCAAAATATAAGTTTGATTCTTCAATTTATATTTCAAACTAAATAACTTAGAAATAATATAATGTTAACTTTTTTTACAAATCTTATTCATTTAAAATAGTAAATAAAATATAAAAAGATTTTAAAAGTACATATGTATATTAGTAGGGTCGTGGGCACACTTACTTGGCACGATCGGGAGTTTGTGAATTTTCTCGTACCTTTCCCTTTCCACATCATCTTCGAATGTGAGATGCCTGCGAAGTTCAAATTTAGTGGGTTGAGGAACATGCTAGCCTCTTCTGACCCGTGCTCGCCTTCAAGTTCTATCTACTTCAGTGGTCTCCTCAGGGCCATGTGGAAGGGGGTTGTTGAGGGTTGGGTTGTGCTGTTGCTTGGCTTGGCCTAGCTTCTTGGGCATCGTGTTCCCTAGTTAGAGAGTTAGGGACGTCAATTGCAGAGTTGCGGTGTTGTTGACTGGTCGTACTAGAACTGTTTGCATCGCAGGGTGGCATATGCTCCTTTGGGGGGGGGGGGATTGTGTTTCAAGTGTTGCTAGTGGTGCTTGCGCAGTCATTCCTTTAGTGGGTCTATCCATGAAAGCCCTAAGGTCACAAGTTTTTCTGATATATCTCTTTTGCTTCATTTTTCTTGATGTTTAGGGTTTGAGCATGGGGTTATTTGGATCTGGTTGGAGAAAAAGAGATGGAGTTTTGAAATCAAAGGCGAAAGGTTGGGATTAGGACAAAGGGTG